GAAGAAATAACAACTCAACTATGTCACAATGTACTTACCATAATTTATGGACCAAATCTAGCAAAAATTTTATTTTGATAATAATGTACATCATTTTATTTTATTTATTCATTTAGTTATTTATTTATTTATTTATTGGATCAGTCAGCAATTAAAATGAGGAAAAAAAAAGACATTCACTTACTTGCCGAACAACTGCAGATGTGATTTCAGAGAAAGTGAGGTCAGGATATGGCATATCACAGCAGTATATCTCCCACAGGCAAATTCCAAAGCTGTACACATCACATTTTCTGTTGTAAGGATTTCCATTTAGAACCTGCAAATTTGATTAGCATTCAATCAGAAAAAATGGGAAAATAGATTATTCAAAAAGCTGATCCCAAATAGCTAAACCTTAAGCAAATGATGATGATGACTTGGACGGGAGATTAGCTTTGAGAATAAAACTAAGTCATTGTGGGTTAGGAGAAGAGATTCATGATTATTATCTATGTGACTAATTAATATTGACACTGCCAGTAAATAAAACATTTGCTACCAGAAGAAAATAATGGCACCTGTTTTAGTCATGATATGCATGGTTGTAAACCGCCTAAAATAGGAAATCATGGCAGACTTATTTCGCAGCTCTTGGGATTTATAAATGAAAAGTGCACCAGGCCATGGTGCGGAGCTATCAATTTGAACCATTGACTATTAAGCGTTATGTAGGAAAATTTTACTTAGATAGAATATTCACAAGCAGTAACAGGTTTGAAATTCAGTTTATATAGAGAAGTGTTACATTGAATGATGGCAACATTTTGGAGTGACAATAAAACTTTATTTTTCTTGAAGCAAAGAGTTTGATCAAAAAAGAGATTGCATAAAGAAGGATAATGATACAAAACAAATACAGAAGGAAAAAGCTTTTGATTTGAAACTTTCTTTGTCCGTTTCAAATATAAGCTTGTTTGGAAATTTGAATTAGAAGTCCATTGCAATACTACAAATGTCTTAGGGCATTAAGTTGAAATTGACAAAGCAATGCTGTAGAATAACCACAAACCTCTGGAGCCATATAACCAAGGGTTCCGGTTTCTCCAGTCATATCATTGGGGTTTTGTGCTTCAACTCGCGCAACACCAAAATCAGCAATTTTTAAAGCCCTTGTCCTATCCAGAAGCATATTTTCTGTCTTTACATCTCTGTGCACAATCTTTTTTGAGTGAAGATAACTCAACCTGTAGATGGAAAACTCACACATGTAAAGGAAACAGTAAAACAAATATAAAAGTAAAATTTGTATTCAAGATGAAGACATAAGTTTGTGATTACCCCCTTGCAAGATCAAGAGATATTTGGACTACAACTTTGAAAGCTAGCTTTCTCCTATGATTTTTTATGAGATAAGTTTTTAAGGCGCCCCCAGGGAGGTATTCAACAACAACACAGCAAATGTTAGTAGACATTCCAATCTGGCCATTTTCAGTTTGTATGTTCAGGTCTGCCTCACCCAATGTAGCGCCTATAAACTGTTTAAAAAACAAGTAAAATTATGTTTTTTGCGAGTTAGGAAATTTCAGACAAAGATGCAAGTTATTGAATATAGAGGAGATCTACTAAATATATTCCAGTAATCTAATGTAGTATCTTGAGATGTAAAACCACAAACATAGAAGTGTTAGGCTTGCAATTTAAAAAAAAAAAATTTGAACTAATGAGCAAGATAGAAGGAAATTTGCAAGTAAATTTGCTTGCTTGTGACTTAGAATAATCAATCAATGAAGATAAAAACCAAATATCATCAAGTTTTCTCGTAAAATTGAGACAAACTACTACCAAACTTTTGAAAGAATATGTTAATTTTGTTCTCATAATAAATCAGGAGAAGATTCACCACTCTAACGCTTCACCTAATACAGCCACTCACATTAAATTGGAGAAACATCATTTAGAATGAGAACCAAGTGTTCACTCATCTATATCTTACATCTTGTCAATCCTGAACACCATTGGCCTCACTTATAAAATTAGATTCCTGCTTATAAACAATAGAGAAACTATAAAAATGAGCAATGGAAGAGTAATCTCAGACACAATAGGATGCAAGACAGATATGATCATCAAGATTCTCTTCCAAAATTAGTTTTAGGCAAGAAAATATCTAGTTTTGACCTTTTAAATTAAAAAGTGTGGTTTAAATGTTTTAAATATTTTTCACATACATAAATACATACATACATGTGTGTGTGTATATATATATATATATATATTTAAAAGGCAAAATTCATTGATAAAAAAGGGATGATACAAAGGTTTTAGTGAGTGGGTACAAGGATGTTGCTCACAGGGATTACAAACGTATTCCCCAAAAATAAAACAAAAAGAAACAACTCCTAATCATGGTGGGTGTAGTTGGCGGATCTACCACTTCCCCTTCCCCTTCCCCTGGATCTATGGAGGGAGTCCAGCAACATATTGAGATGTGGGCTTCCGCCCGAAACAATTATACAGTCATCCTGAGAGTTATTGAGATCTGGCATTCCTTTCTTCTTCTTCCTAGATTCGTAGACCCGTCAATCATCTGTCAGAGGTAGTCTTGTGTGAACAATAGGTGGATCTTTGATGGAGGTAAACTGTTGATATGACCCAGCCTACAGCACACATTGATCTTGATACTCCTCCATAACATGAGTACTTTCTTCTCTCGCAAAGTGGATCCAAGACACTTCGGCTATCATCTGCTACAACACAATTCGTAGAATTTGTAATC